ATATATATTACTTCATAATGATAGGAAGTTTTATTATCCTTCCTAAAAAATAATTAACCATTATGAATTAATATTATTTATTGCATGAATTATATATATATATTTCTTATAAGATAATTGTATCAAATGTGTTGATATTATAAAAAATATATTACCTCATTGCAAAATAATTTCAAACTTCGCATTTGCACATATGTCCATATGGAAATAAATGATATAGCCATCAAATATATAATTTGCCGTTTTAATTATATCAATCATGGCTCTCACAAATTATTAAAATTAATAAATGTACATTTATTAAAATAAAAATTTTTTTGAAATTTTTTGACAAATAAAATTGCTTTCTTAACAAAAAGTTATTATTTTCTTCAAGCATAGTAAATATAGCCAATCAAACATCAGGAAATGATATTACATAGTGAATGTACAATAATCAATATAATAATATGTAAATATCCAAGTACATATTGCTCTCAATGTAACCAATTTTCGAGTTTATCTTAGAATCCTATATGTATTTCATTTACCATGTTATCATTTACCATATATTTTTACATTGCAGTCTTTTGTCGATTAACGTTTCAAACGAAACTTGTTCTAAAAATAAACATTTGTGTTCTTTAAAATGCTCGATGCAAATAAAAAATATTATGTCCTTAAAAAAAGAAAAAAATTTACGTCTCTGGCACAAATCTATGCAGTGCACTAGTTAAAACTAGCAAAGAGCTCTGAAGACCCTGTGGCAAATGTCTTTGCAACCAAGAGCCTTTGTATTGCTCTATGTGAGCCAACATTTTGTTTGCTACGTCAGTTCTGAAAGTAGGCGGTAAGTTAGATACTCCTAGATTAATGACTGCGAGCCCCATGTTACTATTCGGATTTACGCCGACTCCGATCAAAGTTCTGCCGATCTTGCATGCCGTTAGCATCAAATCGGAGGTCAGTTGCAATTCCTGTATCTCCATTGATGCGAATTTGGAGGACAAGTTCGCCTCGTACAAGGAATGGGATATTCGTTTAATTTGCTTCGTCATTTTCTGCAAACAGTAATTTGCTTGTAATTATTTTATCTCGTGTTATTCATTCTTAAAATATTAAGATTTATATTTAAACGAGCTACTTACAGCGAATAGATCGGTTGAGAGATATTCTAGGTTCACATTATCTGGATCAGTTAATAATCTATATAATGTGGAACCGCGATTATCTGGTATTTGTTGCAGGTCTTTAACTGCCTGATTTTTGCTTAATGTTAATACCAAAGTGTCTAAACGTCCTAACTCTAGTATCGCGCTACCGATTTTAAACTCCGAGTCTTGAAACACGTGTATGTCTAATAATTTCGTGATACATTTTTCCCTAAAGTGACACAATTATTTTATTAAGCATAGTAAGCAATAATGTATTTGATAATGATGTACAATTATAACTTTTACGACGATTGTTACCTAATTGATGCAGATAATTCAGGCATGTCATAATTATCATCAGGACCCAAGTCTATTTCCGTCATTGGGTTCCAAGCTAAACCAGCCGCCACTAAATAACCGATCCATGCGAAAGGATGCGGTGTAAGATGATGACTACCCGACCAATGTGCGACAACGATACCGATCGAATTCTGCTCTAGAGAGGTCTTTATCGCGTTCCTCGTGTTAGCATATGTTGACGCCGGGCATCCCGCTAAACTATTGTAACTAGCCGTACCAGAGCTTGGTAAAACGTTACCACCTGCTACTCTGAACGCTTCTGTCCATTCGGAGAAATCATAATCAGCCTGTAACACAAATATTTAATAAATGTCGCATAAGTTTTATAAACATTTCTACGAATCTATCACTGAAAATCGCGAAAAAAAATGTAATATTACCTGAAATCCGTATTCAACGAGTATAATATTAGTGGGAATATTGTGGAATTCGGGTTTAGAATGTAGGCCATTGGAGCATAATAGTAGAGTTGTGTTCGCGCTTAGATTGAGAATATGCCAGAGTTCTTGAAGGCACGAATAGGACTTGAATACTTCCGACATATCCGTTTCGATTGTATCGTTAACAGACGCGTTCAAGTCGAAATTGTCAGCTTGCACTAATAAACTCGCTAATCGTGGACCGACGTGAACGTAACTCAAACTGGGAAATACCGCAAGTAATTCTTGAAAGATAGGCCACATTTGGGTCAAGTGATGCTGGCCGACGTTAGAATCGACATCCAATGTGGGCACTATATCTAAATGCCGATCCCTGAGAAAATTAATGTATTTTAATTATTATATATAACGAAAATATTAATTTTTATGTAATCGCCGAGCGGAAAATTGTTAAGGGTTAAAAAATAAATATTTAGAAAAATAATGACACAATAGATAATAATTGAATATATATAGAAGATAGTTATAGAGAAGAATTATTAAACATAGATTGATAAAATTAAAAGAAAAAATAATAATAATCACAATAATTAAGTTTATATAAAATATTAGAATCTATTTGAGAACGATAATCTTACGCGCGCGCGCGGTTTTTCTAACGAACATGTAATTGTACCTGCAATATCTATCCAGTGTTACCATCTCAGACTTGGAGTAGCAGAGCTGCCAGTCACAATTCGGTATAAGTCTGGAGTAGAGATGCAAATGCGAGATTTTAAACGACGACAGTAGATCAATAATATGCAAAAGGTATTCTAGGGTCGGTATACGTCCTCTGGGTGAGATGTCCAACAGCAAACCGCGATGTGTGAATCTCGGCTCGTCTTTTATAAAGACGGGCTCTATTTCGCACAGCTCCGATCTATTCCGATTCTTACTCAGACGTAGAATCTGCACAAATGTGCAGACCGCGTAATGCAGCCCCACTAAACTTCCGGCGCTCACTTTAATGAAGTTTTGCGTAATATGCAATTGATAGCCGTCCGTAATATTAAATAGATTGTTATTCACAGTGCATTCTATCGTATTGTCGTTGAGCAGTTTGCCGCAACTAGGTTGCACTTCGCCAATTTTTACATCGTGACCCAGTTCGAGTAAATGAGTTCTACTGACCTCCCACACATCTAATATTTTATGTACAGATTCACTTCCCTAGGAAATAAATTATACGCGCAATAAGAAATTTAATATAAAATAAAATTGCAGAAAATTCCAACAAGATAAAGATTCAGATTATAATTTCGAAAAAGAGAAATGAATATATCTTTTCTTACTTGTATTATCGATATAAAAAGCTCCTTTCCGGCAATAAATGGAGCTGTAAAGTTTTTCAATTCAATCACAGCCTTTGGCTGTGGCCACAACAAGTTATATATGGTTCCTTTATCGGCGTTAGATTTGCTAGGACTATCTGTGCCTGTGTCACGCGAAGGCACATCGTACACTGGATCCGAAGACTTGTTAGATTCGACTGACAGTTGACTCATATTGCTCGAGAGACTTTTTTGGCAAAAGTTTGTCTCTGTGAATGATGTAGTAGGACTATGCATCGTTTCGTTTTCGTTTAAGAAATTTGATATAAATCTTTGAAAGAAACAATGTAGAGATTGCTTCTTTCTGGAAAGGTCGTACGGCGTTTTCCCCGTAAACGTTCTGAAAAAACATTTCCTTTGCAAATACATATATGAAAAAGATATATTCATGATTAATCTACTCTGCACACCCTTTAGTAGCTCGTATGTGAGGATTTGCACCAGCCTGTAATAGTTCCTGACAGATAGCGACATCGCCGCGATTCACCGCGTCATGTAACGGTGTTGCGCCACAACCATTCTCGGCATTTACATCGGCTCCTTTATCTATATAAAGATGCTAATATAATAAAAAACCTTATTGAGCCACAGAGCTATCATATCTGGTTTGTATATTACCAAGCAAACACGTGATAATTTCTTTGTTTCCGTAACATGCTGCCCAATGTAACGGTGTGTTTTTACTACCTTGCGAATCCCATGAATTAACATCTAATCCAGCATCTAACAATTGCACCACTCTATCTACCCTATAAAAAAAAGTACATGGCCATGGTATCTAATGCTGTAATTAACACAAGGAGCTATCTATACTTTTTATTTAAAAGAAAAAAAAAAACATTTTAAAATTAATTGTAATAAGTATTTACATACTCAGAAGCAGCTGTTGCTCTTAACAGTTCCTCTATATAAATACGTCGTATTGCATCACTCGAAGCAACATCTACTGCGTTATGTCCATTTGCATTCTGTACAGCTGGATCAGCACCGCAATTTAAGAGTGTTCGCACAATGTCTGCTTGATTGATCTAAGCATAAAGAAAACACAATTTAATTAGAAAATCTAAAAAAATTAACTGGTGGAATATATTACAAACCTTTGAGGCATATGATAAAAAAGTTCCTTCTTCCAAAACCGGTTGGTTTAATATCTTATCTTTCGTAATGCCTTCTGTTGCATTACCATTATCACCTATGACAGAAAGATCGATGATATAAACAACGAAACAAATAATAGAAAGATCGATAATCCAAACACCAATACAACGGAACTTTTGTGCGACCATGCGAACATGTATTAACGCGGGATGAAAAATGTTCGCATCGTAAACACTTCGTCGTATTGACACGTTTGCAATACATACACGCGTCCAAGAGCGATCTGATAATGTCAGTACGTCCGTGTTCGATCGCCGTGCGAATATTCTCGCAAATTCCTTGCATCTCTGCTCGAATTCAACCTGCAGTTTGCGAGGGTCAGGGCGGCGCGTCGCCTGGCATCGTTGGGATATTATTCTGTATTATTCCGCTGTCAGCTGTCAGAAATCGCGCCGGTCATATCGTCGATCTCGCATAGCATAGCGGTCCGATGCGGTGTCGGATGGTGTATACGTGTATATGTAACATGACAACCGCCGTCAGTCTTGCCACATACCGCCTTTTCAAATGCGTTATCAATGAAAATTGATGAGATTACTTGATGTTATAAATCCTATATTATCTCAAAAGCATTTTTGCGTTTGTATAGGTCATGTATAGTCATACGAGCATGAAATAATAGAAAATTCGAATGCGCGATAAAAAAAAAACTCGAATAGGAAGCTTATATCTGATTTTTTCCTCTCGTTTATTTACGTCATGTCTTCCAACCATTTTGTAAGAAATTCCCTTGCTAGAGAAGAAAAGGCAGGAAACCCAACATTGCGAAATTTCCTAGGATAATCGTTCCAAAATTTTTAAGTAGCATCCACAACTTTATTCGATATTTTATCTATGACTCATCATGTCTGTCATAATAAACTTGCGCGCACATGAATTTGCACTACTGTTTATACGTTGATTTGTGTTTAAGAACGAATGATAAAACGTGCAACGTGCAAGAAGAAAATCCAACGAATGATTATGCAATTTGGTTAAAAAGTTATTAAATAAAATATTAAAGAATTATATAAAAGACGTAATCGAGTAGTGACATATTGTGAATTTGAATCTATTTAATTATGATGACCATAGAATTATTATTCAGAATACAAATAAATTCTGAGATGATTATGCCGATCACATTGAGTGGCATAAATCTGAAAACGAAAGTGGAGGAACTAAAACGGGAAGCCGCGGGAAGATGGAATTTGTCCAAGGATTCGTTAGGTAAAATGATGTTGCACTATTTGAAGATTGGTCTTTGTTATAGGATATTTAAAATCTTTGTTACTTAATCTTGACTCTTCAACACGTCAGATTTTTTGGATCTATTATATTTAAGATATATCTCAAGAAATATATCACTTAAAATTATTCTATGTATAGAGTATTTAAAAGATTTTAGAAAAAAATGATAGTCTTGTTTTATATTTTTTTCCTGATGAAATATTAACGCCTAATGAACTTGAAAATTAGAATTTTTGATGTAAATGTTTGATTAATGTAAATCTAATATTAAATAATAGTAATACTTATCTCTCTCTCTTCCTTTTTCTTCAGAATTTATTTATTGTGGACTTACACTTGAGGATGATGCAACAGTAGAATCTATTGGATTGAAAAATGGATCGATGGTGCATGCACTGAAAAAAAAGGAACCAGAATCGCCAGCACCAAATAGATATATATCAGAAGATTCTATCTTACAATTGGCATCAGCATTTAAGTCTTTTAATGAGATGCCTGCATTTAGAAGCGCTTTGCATGTAAGTATTATTTAAATAATTTTTCTGTTAACTTTTATCTGCTTAGTTGTCTTATGTTTCTCATTTCTTTATAAACCATATCATGATCATAAATCATATCAAATAATAATTCTTTATAATTTATCATCGAACATTAATAGAGAAACTATAAATAAATATTTTTATATATTTCAGCGTTTAAGTAAAAGACCAGAGGTGATAGATAATATTATATCTTCCTCTCCTGGATTGCACGAAGATTCTGTCGCCATAGCTATGCTACAGGATCCAGATTTAATGGCACATTTCACAGATGTTGATACTGTTAAAAGGTAATTAGATATATGATTTTAATTTGCATCAGCTAACATATTCAGCAATTCTATGCAAAAATTGTCATCAAGAAAATATATATTATCTCATACTTTATTCATATGAAATTTGCGCGACGAACTCAAATTTTTTTCGCACATATTCAGAATCGCAGAGTTGCATCCGGTATTGATCGAGGCGGCGCAGAACATTGCGGCTGCCGTGCACGAGGAAGCGCAAAACACAGCTTCCAGCGGCTCCTCCAGCACTTCAGTGGCCAGTTCACAGCCTACAACCGCGCGTTCTTACAGCGTGGATAACATGAGCCTCGAAGAGGAGATGGCGCGTGACATCGCACACTTTTTCGCCACGCATCCTGTAAACGATAACAACTTGCGCTTCCCCAACATACCGGCGGCCGCAAATTCGCAGACGTCGCAACGGCCGGACAATCCGCCATCCTCCACATCCGGTAGCGTCAATCAACCCGTAACTGGCAACCAGAATATCGGCGTGATTACATCTCAAATGTTTATGGAAGCGATGAGACAGGCCGCGATCGCGACCAATCCAAATTCGCAGCAAGCAGCCGCATCTCCGGTGGCTCCCTTGCCACCGATGTTACCGCCATTTTCACCGCCGGTTAATGACTTGCAACGGCAGTTGGCGCAGATGCACGAGATGGGTCTCCAAGATGATACGGTAAACATTCAGGCACTGCAGTTTACCAACGGTGATGTGCAGGCGGCGATTGAACTCGTATTTAGCGGTTTCAATGATAATTAATGGGCAGCAACAACAATGAGACGAGATATGTAAGTGATTATACTTTGTATAAATAGAAAGTGTCTTAAAATATTTAGATATCTCATTCTAGATATCTGCAATATTCCGTGTATAGTGAGAATCAATTAAACTATATGTATATAAGCTGTTAAAACATGTGTACAAGTGTGAAAATTATTGCTTGAGAAAAGCTGTGTCTTTTATATAATTTTTGATGAGATTGTATATATCATTCACTACCTTTACTGTCTTCGTTGATATAGTAGAATCTATAAAACGTTTCCATCTTTCAAGAGCTTGTTTGAAGATTATCTTAATTTTTCAGATCTAAATACAATGTACTCAGCATTTTTTGCAAAAAAATACATGATATGCGGAAAGATCAATATTATTTATCATATTAAATAAAATTGTATACTTTGTGTTAATAATTATGTATCAATTATATCTTCGATAATTTTATATCTTGTCTCGTTTAAATAAAACATTGACTTTCACAAATTATTTTTCCTGCACTATATGTGCTAATATGCTGTTGTAATATAAGTGACCCATGTCATTTATGCCGTAGCTATCTCTAAATTCTAATCACTATTGATACCTTATCTCTTTCAGTTCTTTTTAACGCGCCTATGTACGAACAACCAATTTTACATAGTATAACAAAGACGCGTGTGTGATCAGGGATTTAGCGGAAGTTTAACATAATGATTTGAAAAATGAACGACGTATAACACATACATATAATTTAATAAAATTTTTAATATTGATGTGATAATTTTTTAAAATATTAATCGCTATAACTAATTTTTTAGAATGCCTTAATATAATTTTTCCCGTTCTTATATATATGAAAAAAATTTTATTTAACAAAGAAATGTGTGCAATATAAGACAGAAATTATAATAGAAGATTTTCAACACATGTGTGAGCCATGTGGGGTGACGCTTCAGTATATAAGATGTGCCAAAAATTCTTAGAATAAATGCGTCACGCATATATTAGCAGTGACGTATGCGTTAATGCGAAATCGAATGAGTCGCGAAAATTTATACAATTGTGCATAGATATTAACATCTGCAAGTACTATTGGCGTATCATCATTTGAGTGTTCTTAAAGTCTTAAGTGTCTTATAAGTGACGTTAGATTAAGATTTATCTGATTATTTACACGAGATTTAAGATTGGTTAAATCGAAGACACACAATGTTGACCATTAAGAGCTATTAGCAGTAATTATCTGTGAATATAATAACACTGTTAATAATTCTAATTATAGGATTTATATAGATTGATTATGCAAAAATATGAACTTAATAATTTTTATCGGCAGTTGAAGCAAATTTTACACAAACATAAAAAGGATTTGTTAGATAAATTATTTTTGAGTGTACATATTTTTGAAGAAAACTTATAGAATATTCAATAATAAGTACATTCAATATAATTGGCATGATATTTACAGTTAAAAATCATATATAGAACAATTCCTTTTCTAGCAAAAAATATATATTTATTTTTAAAAAATTAAGATATTCTGCAATGTATTTTAGCGAATGATCGAATCATAAAAGAAAAATCTGAATGTCCTAGGATTTCCTTTTCTTTTTCTGTCCCGGTTTTTCTCTATTCTATTCACATATACATATATAATAGCTCTATAATTTTATTTATATATGAGCCTCTTATATAAACTTTAATAAGATCTAACATGATGTCGTGGAAAGATAAAATTTACAAAAAGTGGCATGATCATTTGTCTTTTAAGAGGCTCGTATCATTATGATTTGTCAATGTATCAATTATATAAATCTATTTAGCATTAGTTATTATATCTACAGATTGCATAAATAGCAAAAGTTATTTTCGTATTGAAAAAAGGAAAGGAATGAAGCAGTTTCAATTGCAGGGGGTGCAACATATACATGATACAATACTGCGTTGCGTTGGTGCGTATGCCGGTTGCCGGTCCACGCGCGCTCACGCTTCGAAGCGGGTCGAGCGTGTGCGAGACGCATAAGTAAAAGGGGATTTGTGCAACGGTCCGTCAGTAGGAATCGGGATTTCGAGTGGTTTAGACGTGCTGTTCCGGAGCGTGCTTTAATTTCGCAGTCATTGTGCGCGACACGAGTAGCACGTGTTCGCGACGTCTGACATACAGAGATACACTCAACACGTGTCTATCGCTAGAGGAACAGGAGAAATTCGTGAAAAAGGATCCAAACCGCTTTTCTCGTCATTTCGACGCGATGGCTCTTTCAAAAAGCTCGTTGTCTGGATAAAGTACGACACGTGCGACAGATCTATGGTGCGAGAGGTTATGGGAAAATCAAGACTCTAATCTCGTTTGGATATCCTGCGCGCTTACAGAACGTGATTTCAACGAACGAAAAGGTCACCAGTCAAAAACGCGTGAGTTTTTTTTCACCGCTTGTTTAACGTCAAATGTTCAACCTCTGGTTCTTATTTCGTAAACATGCGACAGGAATATCAGAATTTGTTTTCTTCGTTCTTTCTCTTCGCGGATTTTACGTTAGCAAGGATCACGAGTTTACAAACGACGAAGAGGACGGGAACGACCGGTCTCCGACAGCCGCGTTTAGCGGCTTCGAGAATGCGGTCTCTCCGATTTTGCCGGGGTGGGCGCGTTGTCTGCGGCCAAACGAGCCGGTCGCGTGCGAGAGCAGGGACGGGTTTAAAAACATCTACGGACGTCTTTCACATACGACGAATTTCTGTAGCTCTCGCTCTATATTTTAATCAATTTTTCATTTTTTTCTTAAATCGCGGTACAATTTTTAGACAATTTTTTCCACGATTAGGTCTATCATTTCTTATCAGAATCCGTTCCTAGACGTATAAAAAATCACCGCTTACACATGCATCTTCCATCTCTTTTGAAATTAGTAGAATAATGATGCTAATAAATGATATAATTTGCGATATAAAAGTTCTTTTAGTAAGAGAAAATATTTTGTATTGAATTTTAAACGATTGAAAGAAGTTCGCTCTCGGATATATATTTTTTTTTTATTATTGTCCGCGTATTGTCTGATGCAAAAATAAAAAAAATAGCAATGGATTTTAGCCTTGCACCGGCCCTGCATGGAAATGTTCGCATTCGCAATAAAGGCCGCGGCACCGTTCGCGATCGGTCGGCGTTGCTAAGCCGTCAGTTTTTAAAGGTTCATTCGTCTCTTCTGCAACCTCTGTTCCGCGAGATGATCTCGCGCAGTGATTCTTTGTCTCTTATATTTTGTTTTGTTCCTTTCGATTTTTATTTGGCACAATTTTAAGAAAAATATCAATTTCTTTTCTTTCAACGAGGAGAACCTTTTTGCACTGTACATTTTATCTTATCATCAATTTTCATCTAGAATATGTTGAGGAGAAATATAAAAGAGTAAAATATAAGATATTCCGAGATAAAATGAAATAAAATATTTAATGCAATTGACATGCTATCTCGCTTTTTTTTAAGCATCAACAATTCCGAGAAACGGTATCCTCTCTGATTGTTTTTCCCGTAGATTATTCTGATGTTACAGAAGAGATCTATCGTCTTGTTCCGCGAAACTGTCTTCGTAAATTTCAATCGGCGCCTCGCGCCTTCAGAATAAATTAAAAGTTAAAGAAAAAAATTGATATATAAAGAGCAAAATGATTTCGAATACGACCTTCGAGCAAAGAGGCCAAATCTGAGGAGCAAAGCGAAAGCTTGTCAAATCGTTTCATGAAATAAAATATGCACTCGGCCTTCTTTTATAAGGTGGACAAAGCCGAGCGAAAGGTCGTAAAATTACTACGTAGAATAGGACACTATTTTTTATTAGAGGCAACATCCAAGATGCTTACCTTCGGCGAAACGAATGGTGAGGATAAACTCGAATCGATAGATTGTTATACAGATCCATCTTAATGGCACGTCATATTTCATGTCCATATACGTATACGTATCATCGGATTAGCATTGCGCATTTAAAACTAAATATGGCTATTCTGACAGAGTTACATCTACCTCTGGCAAAGTTATGTTTTATGATGTTTTATGATGTTTTATTAACACCTTTCGCGTAATTCATGTTCGGAAAATATATTTTCTTCATTATATTTATTTATGGAAATACGACGCGTTATTACTAATCGATTAGTCATAGTCTTAATAGATTACTAGAATTTGTCACAACTTTTTTTTTTTTTTTTACTTACGATAGCATAAATTTAAGAGAGAAGAATCACAGAAGATGAATTTTATATAGAATTTTTAAATAGAAATATGATTTATAGCAAGTTAATTTCGATTATAATGAAAGGACATTTTTAAAATATTAGAATTATTCCAGAATATTTTAAACATACGTACATAAATTTCATATGGATGTTTTACGATAGGAATTCGATCAGCTGATGCGAAGGAAGGAAGCGCAAAAAGCAGCAGCCGCGAATAGAACGGATGATTCCCTCGAGTTCCTTGAACGTCTATATTTTTTTCTCTTTTTTTCTCCCTCTTCTTCTACAAAGTAATCGTGGCATTCTTCAAGTCTTAAGAATTTCCGAAGCCGATTATACATCACCGGTGTAATTAAACCTTCCGAGATTAGCTCTTATCAATAGAACCGCATGTTGATTTCTGATTGCGCATGCTTGATTTAGGCAATCACACTAATTATATAATAAAAATAGTAATTTTTACTATAGATCTAAAATTATTATTTCCTTTCAAATTATTTTGCAAACTTGTATAATGCTTTATGATTTTATGATGTAAATAATTTCTTGTATTAAAAGTTAAAATATTTTGTACCTCGTGTTTTAGCATTAATAGATTACAGGCTCTTGTAATATTATTAATAAATCGCGATATTGTCGAACGTATGGCAGACCATATAAAAGGCAGATAGGAATAAATTGGTCAATAAAAATGTCTCTCTTGATTTTGATGATGGTCAAGTCTCCCGGATGATGCTCGCAACGCTTCGCTGATCGCAATGAGTAAACACTTTTTTTTTCGTAAAAAAAAAGTGCAGACAGGCATGCATCATGCATCTAACGAAAGCCACGTAGCTATTATCGAAAGGTCGTATTCGCCTGAAAGTTTATAATTTCAATTGCACTATAAATGATTATTTTACTTGCAGGTCATGGCTAAGAATAGGACAGCACTAGCATATGTTACATTATCATCTTTCTCGAGAATGATATAGAATATTAGTTTCATCGCAGGATGTGCTAGGAATTTGTGTACAAATTGTTTAAATAGCGATTGGTTAAATTATGCTAATGTGATTAAGATAAAATTATCGAATAATTGTAGATTGCAAGTTGATGCGCTTTATTTTATAAATCTTTTTCTGAGAATTGCTTTTTACATGTAAAAAGCAACTCTCAGAATATCATCACGTTTCTGTGAATATTAGCTTAAAATTCCAGTTCAGAGAACCCGATATATTTTATGTGGTTTA